CTTTKKTTGGTTATAGCATAATTGCTCTGATAAGTCTATGTTTTGGCAAACGTCTACTAAATGTTGGATGGACTCTCAGGATTGGCATGGCAACGTTTTGTCGCGTCTCTTTGTTGAATACGTCTGAATAGACCTGATTGGCTGACTCGTTGTCATGTATGTTACTATGAAATTTAAAACCGCTGGGAATGAGAACTGAGAATGAGGCCGGTTCACATTGGCGATTTTTTCGATGATTTTTGGAGAGTTCTTCAAAAAGGAGCACGGAACTTACATTACATTACAAGCTAATGTGCGGTTTGAATTGGCAATGTATASCGACACCACGTTTTAAATTAAAAGATGACATGATCCTCGCAGTTTTTTAAACCGCTGGAAAAATTTTATAGCGGATTTTTTTTTCTTTGCAAAACTGGAAAAGGAAAGTACTTGTGAGTTTCTGTAAATAAGATTCAAAAACGGCTTTTGAGGACAATATAAATGGCCAAAACGAAATTGCAAGGACTATATCTGGGTGCTTCATTTCTTGTACAAAATGGCGTCGCATTTTGTRTAGAAGAATTTACATCAGCGCGCTAGTTAATAAGTCTATTTCTTCGATATCTGTAGCTTTTAATGCAAACAATAATAATAGAAGGAAACATACAGGAAATCCGTGATAAGAATCCGCCTTGTCGAGGTCAAGATACCATCTTGCACACGACGAGCACACGAAAAAGCCGAGCTCTTAGACACTTTYACAGATATTACGAAAATACCTCTTCAGAGATTAGGATAATCGTGGATCAGAGCGCCACTAGATATGAATATGCGAAGCGTTGAAAGGTGTTTTAACGATAGATGACTTCTTTTTAAAAAAAGAAATGCTTTTGAAGTCTCGTACGCGCGTTTGCACGTAAAAATGCAACGATTTCATCTGAAAAGCAGGATTTATAAATTAAAAAGAAATAAAAAAAAACTAAAACTAAAAAGAATATTATTCATGCCATTTAGATGAAGTTTCGTTATAAAAAGAACAATAAAATTCACTATATTTGAWTTTATAGCCTGAACGCCATAAAACCATGAAATTCAACTCTACATTATTTTTTGCTATGCTGTGGTATACTTAGTAAGGGGTTCGACTCAATGGACTGATAAATAGCTGCCATTTTGACTTGTACAATTTTGACGGCTTTGCTGAATTCACTTTCTAATAATGATGCACCATAAAAGATCGATAAATATATAATAGACAATTTCGGTCATTTCTTTGCACTATAACGTTTCTAAGTTTTCGACTAATTTTTGTAGTTCGAAAAAAGTCTAAGACCAGACCATTTTGAATTGTACAATTTCACGGCTTTATTGAGTTCACTCTAATAATGGTGCACCATAAAAGATCGATAAATATAGACAATTTCGTTCATTTCTTTACACTAACGTTTCTAAGTTTTCGACT